TTCTGAGACTGCCAATCTTATAGAAGCAAAAAGCCTCATCTTTCTCGTGTGCAGCAGCTAGTGAGTTTGAACCACTGACCCAAAAGCATCACCAGGGCTCCTTTAATCTTTATAAAAGCAGACTGCCACATCTTTCTCACAGAGCTGCTGGTGGGTTTGAACATCTTTAACCACTGGGCCATCAGTGCCCCTCTGAAATTGAGCGGATATACCATTTATGGATTTTATATAGGATGGCTTCATTAGGTAATCATGGTGGAGGGGAACTTCGAGAAAATAATAAGGATCATAATTTTGTTTTCAAATCACATAGTAAACGATTCTTGCAAAAGTAGCATTTGATTGCTTTAACTCCATTTTTATCACTTCATTTTGTTAAAAACCATCATTGCATGCTAATTCTTCTTTCTGCCTTTCTTCTTTCTTTACTTTTTTACTTCTTTATGTAGACTACTGACCACAGTACTTAATTTCTCTCAAACCAGACAATTTCCCATTAGTGGTGCTGTAGGTTAGGCATCAGACTGCAAATCTAAGGTGGGTAGGTCAAGCCCACCAGTCACTCCATGGAGGGAAGATAAGGCTCTCTGCTCCCGCAAAGATTCAGTCTTGAAAAACTTCTATTGGGCCACTATCAGTCAGAACTGACCCAATGGGAATAGATTTGGTTGGCTAGGTTTTGTATATACTTCAAACTATACTGGTGTTTGGGATGTTGCTTACATAGTTCCTCCTGCTTGTCAACAATGTGTTATGCCAAGTCCAGTACGAGGTATTCCACAGTGAGAAATGATTCCTGCCCTCAGGCAGTATACATCCTAATAGTGGAGAGATATAAAAACCAAGAAGACAGGTAGATGAAATAATTGCAAATATTTAAACCTTTTGACCTTGTCACTAGTCCAAAATATCTATCATATGGAAGGAGAAGGATGTGATAAGGCTATGAAGAAAATAAGCATAAGGCTAAGAGAAAATGGCAGCTGGTAATTACCTAAAAAAGACTGCTCTGGAAAAGCCTTTTAGAGGAGTGACTTTTAAGCTGAGACATACAGGATAAAGAAGTGCATTTCACTGCATGTACAAAGACCCTGTAGAGAGGAGCAAGATCTAGTTCAAAGAACTGAAAGGTCAGTGTAGCTGGAACCTAATGAGCAAGCAGGGGAATGGAGACAGACAAAATAACGAAATTAGAGAAGTAGGCATCAGATCACGCAAGACCTTGTAGTACTTAGTAGTTTAACTGCTGCAGATGAAAAACATTGGTAGTTTTGATTAGGTATGACAGTGGGAATGGAAAGAAATAATGCTGATGGAGTGGATGTAGAGATTCAGAAAAGGGAAGGAGTTGAAGCTAATTTTTAGGCTTCTGGCTTAACTTCCTGGGTAAATAGTGAATGGTACTTACTGAGATGGTGAAGATTTGGGCATGGGGGCAGATTTAGGGGTTAAAATTACATCAAGGGCTCTATTTAGTGCATGTAAGTTTGAGATGTCCATAAAATACCCATGCAAGCAGGGTTTTGGAAGCAGAAACTTGAAGTTCAGGGGAGGTCTAGCCTAAGTAATATAAATGGGGGAATTATTAGCATAAAGATAGAGTTTATATCCCCACCTACCATTTGATCAAACTTGCTAGCCAAAGAAATAAAAATCCTACAAAAGAAACCTTTTTGTTTGACCAACTAGATTCTCTACATAACACCCAAGATTAGTGCAGTGGCACCGTCTCTGAAAGTGTTATTACAGAAAGCAATACTGTAACCAGGACCTTAAAATATTGAAACCTTTTGACCTTGTCACTAGCCCTAAAAATCTATCATATGGAAACAATGAAATACAGTTAAAGGTGCTTGTTCACCCATTACTCAGAATAGTAAAGCAAAAAAACCCCTGTAACTAATTTAAGTATTTGTCACCTATCAGATTATTTCAAATAACTAGGGTATTAAGGTACAACTATAGAATGGAATATTACATAACCATTAAATATCACAGTTTGAAAAAACTATACTAAGACAACAGAAATGCTCATAGTATGTTAGGTTAAAAAGCAGCCAGGCTAATATTATCCCCAATTTATTAATTGAAAAAACGATGTCTATGGGAAGAAATATAACAGAAATTTAACATAATTACTTGACTTTTAGTATTAAAGTTTATTTTTAAAATTTTTTTAATGCAGGCAGGTTACGAACATCTAACTTAGGTCAAAATCAGATCTACACATGAGCCAACCTCTGCTATATAAAGCCTATTGTACTAAACATTTGAGTTATATACGCCATGGTTCAGAATAACAAATGGACACGACTTTGCAACTCACATGAAAAAAAAATATTATTGTATTATGATAAACATATCTTAGTGTATATGGACATGTTCAATATTTTTTATGCATAGAAAGGTGTCCAATATATTAAGACAAATATCTGGTTAATTGATATTAGATATGAACCATACCTATTTCGATGTACAAGTTCAACTTAAAAACTTTCCACAGCGAGCATTACTTTTGCAAGGGGACTTCAACACATTCATGGAAAAATCCCATTATTTTTGCATTCCGTTTTTCTACAAACTTTTTGACTCTCCCTCTTACATTATCAAGCCTCATCTCAAATGCGATCATGTTCTGAAACATTTTCTTCATCCCTCCAACCAGATGTGATCATTCCCTCATTTTTCTCTACAACAGTTTAAGGCATTTACAGTAGTTTTTGTATAATTTATATATTTGAAACTCCTATTCCTTTTGCCTGCCTCCAATTTCTTACAAAGGACATGATGCTGAATTACACGTCCTATTCATTTCATATGCTGTCCCGAAACCACACTTCTCATAGCACTTATCAATTGAAACTACAGTATGCTTTACCTGTTTGCTCCGCCAGAAAAAGCCCTATGAAGGAAACAACTTGGTCTGGTTCTTCAATGCCTACAACAGTTAGGTCCTAGACACAGAAAGACTTCTTAAATAAATGATTCGAACTTACAGCTCTCTAGGCTAAGACTCTCCTCTGAGCTTCATACTACCCAATGTCTCCTAGTGTAACGTGTTTCAATAATGAATGCATACTCTCTCTTATCACCTGATCTGCTCTCCCCTTATTCCCCTCATCACCTATCCATCTGAGTCAGAAGTATGGGTTTCTTTCTTGCAGCCTCCTTCGACTCTTTCTCCCACAACCATGTGATCAGTATTTTCTGCAGCTTCAAACCTATGTAAGTAAATATCATTCCCCCCATTCCCTACTGCTACAGTGCTGGTTGAGTTCTCACCTCTAGTGGAAACCACCCACCAACTGGGTCTAAACCTTTCCCTCACATGGTTTTCTAATTTTGCCAGATTGTACTAACTAAAATGCAAATATGACCATGCTAATCTTTTAACAAGCTTTTAGAAGACTGGAGTTACCAAGAAAATTTCAAGCTTAATGATAGCTAACATTTACAGAATACTTTCACTTTACTGTGTGTTTTATCCTACTAGCTCTATGAGCTAGACATAATTTATTATTTAGATTTCACTTTTAAGGAAACCTGAGGAATTAAACCCAGGTCTCCAATGCCACATCACATATTCTTGTCCAGAAAGATACAACAGTAATAGCTGACTTGGGAGTGCTTACTCTGTGTTAAGTGCTTTATCTCTGTAACCCTAACTAGTCCTTAATGAGAAAGCACTTGTTATAATGCCAATTTTACAGAAGAAAAAACTGAGGCAGAAAGAGAAAGCAATTTGTCCAAAGAGTAATTAAATGGTGGAGCTGATATCTGAACCCCTTCCCAGTTATAAGAAGTAAGGTTATCTAGGAGGGGAAGGGGAAGTTGGGGGAGAAAGGGGGGACAGATCACAAGGATCTACAAATAACCTACTCCCTGGGGGATGGACAACAGAAAGTGGGTAAACAGAGACACTGGACAGTGTAAGACATGAAAAAATAATAATAATTAATAAATTATCAAGGGGTTGTGAGGGAGGGTGGGAGGAGGGAGGGGAAAAATGAGCTGATACCAAGGGCTCAAGTAGAAAGAAAATGTTTTGAGAATGATGATGGCAACAAATGTCCAAATGTGCTTGACACAATGGATGGATGTATGGATTGTGATGAGTTGAATGAGCCCTCAATAAATGAATTAGAAAAAAAAAAGAAGTAATGCTATATATACTCCTTCACTTTCCTTGGTCTGGCCCCTACAATATTTTTCAGCACCATTCCTTCCCTTTCCTCACCACCCTCTTGTATTCCAGCATCACTGTTCTTTAATGTGATGTTTTTTCTCTACTAGATAATATCCTTGTTTCTCGTCCGCAGGAAAATATTTGCCCTTAAACACATCAGCATGGGAGTCACCTCTTCCAGGGTTTTCCTCTTTGGTTCTGCATCTTTCCTTCCTACTGTCACAGTATCTTGTGCATCTCTTTATTACATCACTTGATAATGAAACCCCTTTCCATGTTTGTTTCCCTCACCTGACTATATGTTCCTCCAAGGTACAAGACACTTATACACGTTAAAAAAACATTCACACAATTATACACACACAACACTGACACTCATAATTTTTGTTTGTTTAACTAAGAGAGTAAGTAACATTTTAAGGTCACATGAAGTCATGCCAGAACTAAGATCAGTTTAGGATGTTACATACCCGATCCGGTGCTGTTTTAGAACAGAACTTCCCAATCAATGGACAGGTTACATGGATCATAGTTAAGCTATGATGTGGAAAAGGGTGGAAGATACTTTCTTACACTACATCACGAATGCTGGCAAGCATAAGTTAGTAGAGATCGAATGGTTAGGGGGATGATCACCTCAGAAACAAAGGTAGAGGCATCTTGAAAACCTCAGAAATGTTTGCTCTCACCAGGGTCTATGCTCAGTAAGAACCAAGAGAGTGACACGCACCATTCTGTTCCCCTCCACCCAAATATGTGCCCCTTGCAATGGCACTGCCATTGGGTATCCCTCAAATTTTAGCTATTGACCCACCTCTCTATTTTAGCCTGTCTTTGAGATGCCATAACAACGAGGTTTGGATAGGCCATGGAGGAACTAGCAGTATTATTTTCAGCCAAGTTGTTCTCGGGTTTGGGCAGCTCAAACTCCGCAACATGATAGTAATGGCACTGGGTTAAGTAGTTTAGGAAGTGTTCTCGAGCCCATTGCAAATGATCTAGGCGCTTGCTGGGGTTGACTTGTTTCATGGCGAGGGCTCCTTGAAATGCTGGCACCAACAGGTACTTCAGGTCAGTGGAAGCGATCTCTTCTAAATCTTCATTTCGGCTATAAAGAGTGAAGAAGAGGCTGTAAAGCCAGGCTAGCCATTCAAACATTGGCCCTAGCTTGGGGGCAGGGGCGGGAGCCAAAGGGTGAGGCCAGGAGAACAATGGCCAGTCGCCCCCCACCCCACCCCAAGAAAGTGGCTGAGTGTTTACACAGCACTTATGCAGCCAACCCGCGGAGAAGCAGCCAGAGGCATGGGACTGTAACTCAGTGGAAAGTGTAAACAACGTCCTAGATCGCAGCGCGAAATAGGGGGCTAAAGATCTCCCCCACCCCGGCTCAATGGCTCCTCCCTTAGCAACCATTATTACCTCCGTTCTCAGCCATCACTACCTTCTTTCTCTGCCATACCTGAACAAGTCGAGCTGCGAGAGCATTTCGGCAGCCTTCTCAAGGAGGTCCAGTCCCTTAAGCACCTTATCCTGGACCATCCGGGAACCAGTAGGTTCCGTCGCGATTTCCACTTCATCCAGAAACTGCTTACTGGTTTCGAAGAGCTCAGGGAGCCTTGGCAGCAGTAATTCGTCTTCGGCAGCTGCCATCTTGTGGGAGGGAGGCACCCTGAAGCCCTGACTTCCGGGGTCAAAGGCAACTTTAGTAAAGGACTGAAGGACACGAATGAAACCGGAAGGGGCGTTGAACTGGCCCAGCTAGCTCTTTGTTAGCAGTGGTCAAAAATGGCAAAAAACAAACCCTAAACTCCACCCCATCCTCAACCTCCGGAAATAGTTCTCTGCCGGCTATGGTGATCATTTTCAGGGACTCATTTTACCAGGCAGCTTATTGTAGAAAGGTTTTGGCAAACACGCAAGACTTCAGGCGTCGTTTAATAATTTAGTTCTCTTCGTCAACTCTGAAGTGTCCAGGCTGGGCTGTGTGATGAGGTTGGAGAGGGCAGGCGAGCGTGAGCTTTAGGAACCCGTAAGGCAGGCGTCTTACCTCGCTAGAAAAACCTGGCTGGCCTGCTAGGATGGCATGGACGCGCAGAGTGGTAAGGAAGTCGCGCCCCCTTCTGGTGTCCGTCTACCCGCCAGCTGTAGCTCCGGGTTCCTAAAAGCCAGCCAAACCCCTTCTGTTTCTACCCCTTTAAGCCACCCCGCCCCTGCACATTACGCGCTCAGCTCCCAGCCCAACCCTGCCCTGGCAACGCCCTCAGCCTATCGCCTAGGAAACCGATGTGCATAGTCTGAATAGTTTGGTAATCTGAAACTCTGGTCACAAGCAGCGACCTTCTGAGCTAAAAAGTTCCCAGGTCAAATGTTACTTCCTCTGTGAAACCGACCTAGACCCACCTTATCTCTTACCTCAATCCAACCCTGGTCACTAAATCAGGGTTTTCTTTGTACATCTCTATCATAGGCCCAAGTGTCTTTTAGCTAGTGATTTACAAATCTGCCTTCCTTCCCAGAATGAACATAAATCAATTTTGTGACTCTATGGTTACCGCTTATTAAGTGCTCAATGCCATTACATAAATAAAAAAAATGATTGGTCTGGAAAGCATTCCAATTACGCAAAACTGCACTACTCACTATGGTAGCCACTAGTCACAAGTAGCAACTGAGTATTTTAATGAGGCTATTTTGAAAACTTTCCAACACTTTTTAATAGGTTTTATGCATGTGAAAGTTGGACATTGAATAAGGAAAATCTAAGAAATATCCATGCATTTGAACTATGGGGCTGGTGAAAAATACTGAAAATACCACGGATTGCCAAAAGAACAAACATCTGTCTTGGAAGAAGTGCCGCAGGAAGGCTTAGAGGCAAGTATGGTGAGACTTCTCATGTACTTAGGGAATGTCAGGAGAGACTAGTCCCTGGAGAAGGACATCATGCTTGGTGCCAGGGACAGGGGCTCTGCCCTGCCTGCTAAGGGAATGAACAAAGGGCCCCGTGAAATAAGTTGCTAACAAAGAACTGTGAGAATTGGCTTGGTAAACAACTAACGTTGAAGACAGGTCCTAGTACAAATCTTGCAACAAAGTCCACATGGAAGAAGCACACCAGCCTGTGTGATCACAGGTATCAATGAGATCAGGTATCAGGCATCAAAGAATAAAAAAACCTTATCTTTGTGAATGAGGGGGAGTGCAGAGTGGAGACCCAAAGCCCATCTGTAGACAATTGGACATCCCCTTACAGAAGGATCACAAGAAAGAGATGAATCAGTCAGGGTGCAGTATAGCACCAACGAAACATACAACTTTCCTCTAGTTCTTTAATGCTTCTTTCCCCCCACTATCATGATCCCAATTCTACCTTACACATCTGGCTAGACCAGAGCATGTGGACGGGTTCAGATAAGAGCTGGAAACACAGGGAATCCAGGACAGATAAACCCCTCAGGACCAATAATAAGAGTAGCTATACCAGGAGGGGAAGAGGCAAGTGGGGCGAGAAAGGAAGAACTGATCAAAATTATCTACATATCATTTTGTTGTCCGTCCCCCGGGGGACGGACAACACAAAAGTGGGTGAAGGGAGACATCGGTCAGTGTAAGACAGAAGTTCTCAACTGTGAGTTGCGACCCCTTTGGGGGTCAAATGACCCTTTCACAGGGGTGGCCTGATTCATAACAGTAGCAAAATTACAGTTATGAAGTAGCAACGAAAATAATTTTGTGGTTGGGGTCACCACACATGAGGAATTGTATTAAAGGGCTGAGGCATTAAGGAAGGTTGAGAACCATTGCCCTAGAAGGTGAACCTTCTCACTTTGAGAGAGGAGACCCTATTAACTCCAGAGCGAAGTGTATCTTATATGTTCATAAGGTGTCCTCAACTTGTGCGAGGGACCTGCTTAATTTTTTTTAAAGTGACTCTATCCTTTAATAAAACTGTGGCTTAACTCTTTGTTGGGGGGTGGGGCGCGTGCGCACGCGCGCGCCCGCGCGCGCACACACACAGCTTATCTCTGGGACCTAAAAAATCACACCGGTTTGGAGTTGGCTAGTTTCCCCCATGGGCTCGGGTACGTAACTTCATACTTAGCAAAGTAGAAAGGCAGAGAAAAAGAAGCCTCTCGACAAGATGGATTGACAGACTGTAACTATGGTCTCAAACATAGAAACAAGTGTGAGGATAGAGCAGTACTGGGGCCGGGGTGGGGGCAGCGGAGAGGTTTCATTCTGTTGGAACCTATTTGCCCATGCCTAACCACAAGAACATTTTGAAAACTGATGTGTGTTGTAAATGGAAAAGACACACTTCTCATGAAAATTTAAACCAGGAAAAAAAGAATATGAAATACTTCATTAATTTTTATATTGACTACATGTCGAAATCACAATATATTGGATATATTGGGTGAAATATATTATTAATATTAATTACTTTTTCCTTTTGCAACATGCAGGTTGAAAATTGAAAAATATGTGGATGGCTCACATTTGTGGCTTGCATTATATTTCTAGTGGACAGCAGCTAAATTATAATTCTAGGACTTTGAAAGAAGGGATTTTGCTTTGAACCAATCAACATAGGAGATTTAAGTGGCAGAAAAAATGCCTTCCCCTGAAAATAAACTTTTAAATGGAATATATTTCAAAGTAGAGCTGAGAAGAAAAAAAAATCCTATTGGAAACAACTAGAGGGCAATGAAGACAGCAGATACGTTGCATTGCACAGGCTTGAGGAAAGCACAAGTTACGCTAGAAGTAGTTCATGCTGCTTCTTAGACATGACATACGGGCATAGAATTTCAGAGCTGTAAAGAAACCTCAAAAATCAAAGGACAAAACAAAGACAGGAAAGGCTAAAGTGATTTGCCCAGTTTGTAACAATGCTAGTTGTCCCTCTTCAGTTAGTTATTTCTACTCCATTGAACTTGACTGGAATTTAGGAAAGTGAAGAGCGCATTTGGGGTAGAACGAAGCCTCCAGGGAGAAGTATGTTTTCGAAAAAGATTAAGTGTAGGATGTAAAAAGCTTCTCTGGTGACTCTGGGGGTGTAGTGGCTGCTAAGGACAAGGTCAGCACTTTGAAATCCAGCTGTACCTAGCCATTCCTCCAGAGGGAGATGAAGCTTTCTATTCCCATAACGATTTACAGTCTCAGAAAACCCCAGGGCAGTTCTATTCTGGGCTGTAGGGTCACTATGAGTTGGAATTGATTCAATGGCAGTGAGTTTGGCTACTCTTAGGGAAGACACTCATGCACCCTTTCTTAAGATGCTCTGTCCTCCATTTCATGAAATCCAATTATTCCTTAAATAAAATATATTGTTTTATTTTTCTAACACAGAGTTATTCTAGTTTCCGGTAGGACACCAGGATTTTAAAATACCCGCTGCCATCAAGTTAATTCTGACTCACAGTGACCCTATAACATCTTCCCTTGGAGCAACTGGTTGCTTTGAACTACCAACTTGGTGGTTAGCAGTCCCAACACCTATCCAACAGGTGGTTAAAAATCATAATACTTACTAGTTATGTATTGTGCTTCTGTGCATAAACACTCTTTCACATTAAATCCCTATCATATATGGGAGGCTTTTTAAAAAATCCTAGTTTGGGGAAGTAGAAGAGCCCTTAGACATTGTGGAAGTATAACAGTACTTAAAATTACTGCTGTAGAAGAACTTTTATCTCCAAACCAAGTTTTAGGCAGGTCCACAATTTCTAAAAGGGGTAAAAGTAGGGCTGCTGTGTTTCAAGGAGATCCACAAAAGCCTGCTGACTATGCTGCTAGACATCTTCTCAATTGCCTGGTGACATCTGAGGCACGTTTAAAGTAGCAAGGAAAAAGGACTAATCTAGTCTAACTTGCCCATTCTGCAAATGAAGAAAACGAGAGCCTGAGAAATTAGGCCACACAGCTAAGAAGATTAATTGAGCAATAATACATGGGGTAAATTGGAAAGGGGGGGGGAAGCCAAACTAGAATCCGGTAGAGTAGTAGAAAGTATTTTAAGTAATCTATGCAAGACTATAGAAAGATCATTTTCAAGACTCCCCACCCACCATCTAACTGCCTGATAGAAATGATGGGCGTCTATTTGTCATGTGTTATCTGAGAGGTGAAAAACGGAGGAGCAGAACGGAGATAGAATTGAGCCAGGAGTGTGAAGTTGAGAAAGATTTTATTGAGGGAAAGAACTCCCGGGAGGGAAGGGAGAGCAGAGAAAGGGACAGGGCATCTCAAGCTCCGGGGTGGGTTCCACGACCCGATGAGTTAAGTCAGGGAAATCGCGCCCGCCCCTCGGTGGGGCAGTGGAATATTTGTAGGATTTGGGCCAGGAAAATATGCAAATGAGGTGAAGAGAGCTGCTGGTGCTTGCGCCCATGAGGAGAAGGGAGGCTTCCTGGTGAGCAGCTGCACTCCGAGTCCTTCAAGGACCAGCTTCTTGGAATGTGGGGGAAGAGAGCTCTGGCCTTGAGAGTTGGCGGGGGCGGGGTGTGCGAGTATCTGGACCCTTCCCAGAGAGATAAGCTCCTTGGAATACTGGAGGCAGGGACTGCACAGTCCAGCAGATCATCCGTCCTGAGAGACTGGGGGAAGAGGCTGCATGGTCCAGAGCGGCCCAAACATTATTTTAACACAGGTTTGTTATCTTGATAACAAAGCATGTGATTCATGAGAGCAACTACTCCTTAGATATTTCCCTGCCAGTCTAAATTGAGGTGCTTGGTAGTTTAGATTTTCTTTGGCCTACTTTAGAGATTGTTTTGTCTTGAGTGGATAATATTTTATTGATATTCATAC